CCCCAAAACCCCAAAACCCCAAAACCCCAACCGCTCCTATTAAAATTGAACTTAGACTAAACCTTCCAGGTCAGACTCCATTGAGCTGGTTCACTGCAGTAGAAAGTTTGTGACTGGGAGATTGTGGAAGGGGCTTTGGGGGAATGGGGGATAGAGGGGGTTTAAGGGGTTTTGGGGGTTCTTGTTGGGGAATAAGAGTGGGAGATCTGGAGTTATACGACTTGGTGGGATCTTTTGGGTGGGAATAGTCGTTTTGGGGGATTGTAGAGGTGAGATAGGGGAAATTGGGTGGTTGAGGGGATTTGAAGGTTAAGGGGAGTTTTAGTAGGAGGTTTATATGAACTTGGCCTCAATTCACCGGTTTCTTATAAAATCGCAGTTTTATATTTAGCTATGATTCATGATAAAATAGTTAGATTTGAGAAATAAAAATAGGGCATCCATTTTATTTGTAAGAACAATATTAAAGAGAGATATGAGAGTGCACAAATCTTATTTTCCTACCCCAACAAACAACTATAAACCTCATAATGTCCTTATACAAGATGAGAGAAGTTCTGAAACTAAACAAGCTACGAATATTGCCAAAAATACTTAAAAACAAGTTAACGATTTCAAATTTCTCATTAAAAAGTGAAAATCTTACCCAAAATATCCATTTAGTCCATAAACCTATTGTTTTCCACATGGATTCAGTATTCTTCACCAACAGTTTATTCAGGCTCTCATCTCAGAATCTAATTCTACATCTAAACTTCCATAATCTGGTGATCCGGCTTAGGTTTCATGCCGAACATCCACATTAAAATATTACCCATAAGAGGTAGGAATAAGCTTAACATTTGTTTCTTTGTAATAAACTAATGTAGCTGGCTTGGCTATATTTCTTCCAGAGAAATTTCATTATTTCCAGTTTTATTCGGAAAATCTGAAATAATTCTTGGTAAAATTTTAGGCAGGGGTTTCAGGATTAACTGAATTTTGGGTAGAGAGATGGGAGAGGACTCGACTGTATTTTATAACCATAGCTGACGTTTAGAGGGATGAAAGAGGTATATTTATCCTCCTTTGTGCAGTGGTTAATTGATATTTTCAGTAGCGGTGAGATAGATTTCAATCGGACTAGTTAATTTTGAGAATCCTTAGTTTTTGTTAAAAGAAGTTTTGTAATTATATCAGCAAGTCTCTTATAGTAAGTAATTTGAATATTCTCATTCTAAAATGCAGTATTTGTATTTAGGAAAGTTCACCAAATTTGGCCTCAAGAGGCCTGTGAAGTATTCAGAAGCATAATCCAATTAAAAAGAGACAGATATTATAGCTAGCTCAAATATTTGTCAGAAAATATCACTAAACTACAAGTTCACTACATAAAATAATGAGCGATAATTTTAACATAACAGTTTGAAAGAGGTCTTAATAATTTTGACACTTAGATACCCCTTATTGCCAACATATTCCAGAGAATTTAGGTTGAGCACAAGCTGGACAGTCATTGCAAGGCTCCTCAATGTCACAGGTGCCTGAGATTAATAGAAATAATAAGATAATAACCAATCAGAAAACCTAACAGATTCTTAACTTGAATGTAACTGGTTAGAGCTATGAATAAAACTAAACTGAAGATAAGCAAAAGTGGTAAATTCATTAAAATTTGTTAAAATTGGTGCTAGACTGGTTCGATTATGAATATTTCATGAAAATATAGTCAGAAATGTTGCTTAATTTCAAGAAATTACTAGAGTATTTGAAATAATTTATGAAGATGTTATACTTCTTCATTGCTTATCCATTCTCATCATTCCATAAAAGCTCATTAGATTCAAAGCATTGAAAGCTGAGACTATTGGTTGCTCTCTAAAGTCCAAAATTTCTGTTATAACTTTGTTCTAGCTTCATTGTCCAGCCAATAAAGCTTGTAAGAATGAGTGGGCCAATCCACTACGATATATTATCAAGGCAACCAGATGGACTATGACTCTTTAGACGTCCGTACATTCCAAATTTGTTTTTGTAGCATTCCCAAGCGATAAAAATTGGGAAGAAGAGTTCTCAAGATATTTTAGTATCAAATTAATTATGTTTTGCTCATGTGTTGAGCAGAAGCTATTTATTTCGTGTGAGGCTCTACTTTTCCTTCAAAGTTCTCTCCAAATGTCATAAGTATTTTTGGAGACTCTATTTCACTATCAGATGATAACCTACCTTCGGAGCATCTCCTTTGTGCGATTTTGAGAGTTCCTTCAAATTTCTTAACAATGGTAGATGATTTCTGTTTCTAGATATTATTAGTGAAAGCCCAATGAAACCTCATTGAGGAATCTGTATTGCAATCTAACTCTGTGTATAAATCCGTCTCTTTATTAAATATGTAAGCTAGGTGCCATCCTAGCCTACCAGAGAGGGCTAATATTCTTAACTAAAAGTTTACATATTTTATTGAAATTTTCGTTTGAAGGAAATTAAGTCTAGGCTAAAAGAAAGCTGTTTATCAATCGTCCAAATGAGAATATTTGAAATAAAAAAAGTAAGGTGAATTTACCTTTTTCGCACGAACAGCGATTGATTTGGCACTTTTCTTGCTAATTTTCCTTGATTTCGTCCTTTTTCTTATCCTCTTGGTTGGCACTCTAGATTGTGTTAATAAGTCCATTTACGGTAGCTGTGTAACTGTTTAACTTACTCAAGGAACTTGGTCGAAGTCATAGGCTGGTGAGATTGCATAAAAGATTTGCAAACACTCCTCTTTCTTGAAGACTTTATAGTACCCATGAATTTTGTAGAAATCGTCTGCCTAGCTGATGAAAGATAAAACCTCCTTTTTCTATTTGCATTTGTTGCAAATTTAGGACTCTTGCTCGGTTGTTTCATCGAACTGTAATAAGCTTTCTTTTTATTCGTCCTTCAGAATTTTTCTGGATCTAGGTGTTTTACTGATAAACATTTGCTTTGTTTTAGACGGATCCTATTTGATTCAAGTATGCCTCCTTTATTGATTGCAAGGAGAGAGCTATTAGTAATTATGAGACTAGTCAAGAATTCTCAAAAATCAAAGTGATTATTAATTGCTAAAATCTCATGCTATTAATTAATCATATTCTACAATAAGACATGGTGTTTATGGTATCTTGCAAATATAATAATTTTAGTCATCAAGAGCTATTAAAGTAGAGACACTACATTTATGGTAATAGTAAAAGAAAAATTTAGAACTATTATTGCCAAGTTAAACCGGGTTTCACTAAATGAAAAAGATTCATGCTCCAAAATAAGATCAAATAGAGCAATAACTTACTTGTTCTTTTTGAAATCAAACACTAAGTTAGGTTTGGTTGAGCCTTCATCAAGCATATTCTCTGAGAGATTTCATTCGTCATCTAAATTATTATTTAGACACTGTACAGCTTAAAATCAGCCATAATACAATTCATAAAAGAACGTAAACCGATGCATCTTATGTTGACTTATTAAAAATATTTGGATTTTTAAACATCAAAGTTTATTTTTAGCTTTGTGTTACATTTCTAAAAGACTAGCATCATGTAAAACGCTTCATTCTCAACTATTTTCATATAGCAAAGTAATCACCAATTGGTGAATTCTGAATTACCTTCGAACAAATTATGACTACAGTCTTTGCTCTTTGGGTCATTAACCTAAATTTAAATGGTTAGTTTTTCTTTAGGAGTCTTGTGATTATTTCTCAGTTCCAGATTAATATATATAAAGCCAATATTTATACTAATCGCAATCAAGTTCCAAAACAATAGGTTTCGGAGACTAACTTTCTGAAGGGTAGCTACAAATCTTGTCCTCCAAGTCGTCCCTGGTTGCTATCTCAGGCAGTTACAGAATGGGATCTTTGAGCCCAGAGCCTAAGGTTCTAATCCTGCTGCCTGAACAGTCCATCTGGGTTCTTAAGGCCTACCTTTTCCATGTTGAGTCTGTAGTTAAATTAATATAAGGATTAATTATATTATCAGTTGCCTGGACATATATGGGGTTTTGGGGTTTTGGGGTTTTGGGGTTTTGGGG